TTTTTTTCTTTTTGGACACATGGAAGATATTTTTGGGGTCTCAGTTGTAGAAAACATGCTTTATTAGAACAGTTTTTAAAATGTAGTAAATAGTAAAAGTTTATTATAGCTGAACTTGTTCACCTTTTAATTTTTGCTTTTAGGAAGCTAAGAGAAAATTATTTACATAGTTCTCACAATTTATGGGAAGGCTTGCTCTACATTTCCCTAATATCCTGATTTTGTTTTGCTTCCATACCATCAGTTTTACTTTGACCTGATTTCCACATCGATTTTCTTTCTCTAAATTATTTGAAAACAAGACATTATTCAATAAAATAATTATTTAAAATGCTTTAGAAACTCCAAAGTGGATCAAAACTTACCTTGGAAAAGAAGGAAGAATCAATGTCAATTAAGAAGAAGAAAGAAGGAGCTATGACATCTGTGGTGTTCAAATCATGACAGGCAATTTAGAAGACGTTTTATAGTCTCAATCATCACAACCATGTAAACTATTATAATTTTAGCTATTATTACAGAAAACTTATCTTTTCCAAGTATTCATTTAAATTCTTTATATGTATATAAAAATTTAACCCAACCATCTTCTGCGGTAGGCAATAGGATTATCCATAAGGCTCATCAAATAGGGCAAATACCTTAGCTGAGATCATATTACTAGTATCTAGAAACTAGTATCTAGAAACAAGGATCTAATCCACATACTTCACTTCCAGTTCTTAACATGCCGTACTTTCTTATTATCCTCATTTAATCAGTAAGGAAGCTGTGTATAGGTCTAAATGAGCACATTATTTGATATAGGCCATGTGAGGTGGGGCTTAGATTCAGAGCCAGTCTGTTGGCAATAGAATCTGTGCTTTTTCCTCTATATCGCTCTGTCTTCCAGAACACATGTATCTTCAAGGAATTACTCTATGCCAATGTTTCAAAAATACCTTTCCATGAAACTTTATTTAATGTAGTTATTTGAGTAAAAGCTTACCAAGGTAAAAGAAATTTGGGAAATATTAAACAGTTATCCATCTTTAGAAATAGCTCAGAACCTTTAGTGTACTAATGCATTTTTCCAACTATTGAGTCATTTTCATTGCTTTTAACTATCTTCCAATATGAGTAACTTATTTTGAAAACACTAATTTGTGCTGCATTTCAGATTATTTTATGTCTCTAATGACTTAGTGAATTCTCCGTGGCTTCATAAGGATCATATATAGAGACTGGAGTAATCAAATCTATAACAAATGTAAGAATTTGGAATATGTGAAGATTAATCAAATGTCATGACTAAGCCAACTGAATTATCATCTGTTGATATAAAATCATTTTCTGATATTTATTTAGTCATTAAAAGAACCAGATTGTAATAAATTTTAAAGATTAATTTAATTTGCTTGTATGCTAAACAGACAAAAAAAACCCATCTACTAATGAAGCAGTTTTCAAAGGGTATATAATAGGGGCTTTTTAGAGAAATACACTAAGTCATTACATGAAAAACAGAGACAATAGTCTTCATTATGTAAGCCAAATTGTTTTTCACCTACAAAAAATGGGTATTTCCCCTGATTAACCTAAAATTATCTTTTATTTCTTCATTAATTTTGAATCAGTATCCTTGGGCAAGGCTTCTTAAGATGCCAAACTGATTATCTCAACACTTTAAAAATCTTGGCTAACAACTAATTTATTTAGAAATACTAAATGCACAAAAAAGATCTCACTTAAATTTACACATAGTAATACTTGATTCTTAATAAAGAACAAAAGAAAGAGGTAACAGCAGAATGCTGACTGAATTTAAATTGAAAGATACTTTCTTAAAAAATCCATGACTTTCTGTCTTCCTACTTTTTTCTATCTTCTTACTTTCAACAACTATAGACTAAAATATAAATGATTATTAATAAAATGAACTTAATAAAAACATAAATGTATAAATAGCAAATATTGTAGAATTGTATCCCATATTAGATTTCCAGGTTATTTCATTATTATTTTTTTTTTTTTACGTTTTATTCACCTCTAGGAGAGAGAGAGAGAGACAGCGTGAGCAGGGGAGGGTCAGAGAGAGAGGGATTCACAGACTGAAACAGGCTCCAGGCTCTGAGCTGGCAGTCAGCACAGCCCGACGCGGGGCTCGAACCCACGAACCGCGAGATCATGACCTAAGCGAAAGTCGGACGCTCAACCGACTAAGCCACCCAGGCGCCCCTATTTCATTAATTTTAAACTTTGTGTACAATGATAAACATGTAAATGATGCTTAATTCATCATACACCCTGAATCAATAGGATTCAAATTAATTTTCTCTAGAAATGTTTTAGTCCTCATATTCTCTGTGAAAAAATCTTTTGGTAGTAGACCTAATGGATGTTTCATCGAACTCACTGGTAACTTAGATTAGTGGAATGTATGAATTCTATTTAATATGTATATGAATTTAATTGTAACTTCCCTAGGCCTCAGTTTTCTCTATTATGAAATGGCAATAATTTTGTGATAATTGTTTTAGAATTATATTGCTGTTTTAAATATTACTACCAGGGTGCCTGGATGGCTCAGTCATTTGAGTGACTCATGATTTTGGCTGTCATGCTCCCAGGATTGTGGGACTGAGCCCCATGTCAGGTGCTGCACTGAGGGTGGAACCGGCTTAAGATTCTCTCTCTCACTGTCTCTCCCTCTGCCCATGTCCCCTGCTCACACACTCTCCTTAAAATAATAAAATAAAATAAAATAAAATAAAATAAAATAAAATAAAATAAAATAACCAAACTACCACAAATTTAGTCACCATTTGTTTTATTGGTGAGAAATCTGGGCACAGCATGGCTCAGCTGTTTAGGACCTTACAAAGGCAACAAAATCTAGGTGTCAACTGATCTAGGCTTCTGCTAGAGACTCTGGCAAAGAATTTACTCCCAAGGTCATTCAGGTTGTTGACAAAACTCACTTCTTCTCAATTGCAGGCTTTCACAATTTAAGGTGGCTGCTTCTCTCAAAATTCCCAACCAGCAGGTCTTCTCCCATGCTTTAAATCTCTCTGACTTTCTCTCTTTCCTTCTGTTTTTCTTTTCTTTTTTAATTAATAGAATTTACTTTTTAGAGTTTTAACTCTAAATTAAGATTTATAGAAAAAGAAAGGAGATAGTACAGTGTCTCCATACACTCTCCTTCCTCCTGGCTTCCTCATGTATTAACATCTTGTATTAGCAAGAAAAATTAGTTACAATTAATGGACCAATATTATTGCTATTTATTATATAATTAATTTTTTTTAACTGAAGCCTATAGATTACATTAAGGTCTACTACTTGTATTATAGTATCCTGTGAGGTTTGTCATATTTCCACTATTATCATATCATACAGATTAGTTTCACCTCTAAAAAATAATCCCTGTGCTTCACCTAGTCATCCCTATTCTATTTCAGCCAAACCCACCATAACCACTGATCTTTTTACTATTCCCGTAGTTTTCCTTCTTCCAGAATGTCATAACATTAAGATCCTGGTATATAGCCTTTTCAGATTGTCTACTTTCACTTGGTAATATGCATTTAAGGTTCCTTTTGGTCTTTCATGGCTTGGTATTTAATGATAAATAATATTCTATTGTCTGGGTGTAACAAAGTTTGTTTATCCATTCACTTACTGAAAGACATTTTGGTTGCTTACAAGTTTGGACAATTATGAATGAAACTGCTCTAAACATCAGTGTACAAGTTTTTATATAAACATAATTTTTTAATGTTTGTTTATTCTTTAGAGAGAGACAGAGCACCAGCAGGGGAGGGACTGAGAGAGAGAGAGAGAGGGAGAGGGAGAGGGAGAGGGAGAGGGAGAGAGAGAGAGAGAGAGAGAGAGAATCTGAAGCAAGCTCTAGCCTCTGAGTTGTCAGCACTGAGCCTGACATGGGGCTTGGACTCATGGACTGCAAGATCATGACCTGAGCCGAAGTCTGACACTTAAATGACTGAGCCATACAGGTGCCCCCTAGACATAAATTTTCAATTCATTGAGGTAAATATCAGATCAGGTGATTGGTGGATAATATGGAGTATGGTTAGTAAGAAACTACCCAATTGTCTTCCAAAGTAGCTGCATCATTTTGCATTCTTACCAGCAATGAATTAATGTTTCTGTTGCTCCACATCCTCACCAGCATTTGATGGTGTCAGTGTTCTAGATTTTGACCATTCTAGTAGGTTTGTAGTGGTATTTAATTTTTGTTTTAATTTATATTTCTAACAACATGTAAAGGGAAAGCATTTTTTCATATACTATTTTCTATCTATTTTCTTTGGTGAGGTGTCTGTTAAGATCTTTGAGCAATTTTTTTTAAAAGTTCATTTACTTATTTTGAGAGAGAGAGAGAGAGAGAAAATCCCAAGCTGGCTCTGCCCTGTAGCACAGAGCCCAACATGGGGCTCAATCTCACTAACCAGAGATCATGGTCTGAGCTGAAATTAAGAGTCAGATACTTCACCAACTGAGCCACACAAGCACCCCTGTCCCATTTTAAAAGTCAGGTTTTAAATTTTTTTTATTGTTGAATTTTAAAAGTTATTTGTATATTTTAGATAATAGTCCTTCATCAAATATGTCTTTTGCAATGATTTCTTCCCAGTCTGTGGCTTGCTTTTTATTTTCTTGACAGTGTCTTTCACAGAACAGATATTTTTAATTTTAATGAAGCCCAGCTTATCAATTATTTCTCTAATGGAGCATGACGTTGTATTTAAAAGTGATCATCATACTCTAGATCATCTAGGTTTTCTATTATGTTATTTTCTAAGAGTTTTATAGTTTTATAGATCTACTTTATTTCATGTGGATGTCCAATTTTTCTAGCATCATTTGTTGAAAGACTATCTTTGTTCCATTTAATTGCCTTTATTCCTTTGTCAAAGACCAATCAACTCTATTTATGTGGGTCCATTCTAGACTCTCTATTTCTTTGATCTATTTGTCCATGCTTTAGTCACTGCCAGAATGTCTTGATTACTATGCCTTCATAGTAAGTCATCCTTGTGCAGGGGTCATTCTCATCTTCTCAGGATCATTCCAGTTATTCTATACGTGGTGCCAAACCAAGCACTATAATAAGTCTTAAAGTTGGGTATGTCAGCCTTACCACTTACTCTTCTTCAATACTATGTTGGTTATTCTGGATCTTTTGCCTTCCTACATAAACTTTAAAATCTGTTTCTTAATACTCACAAAATAACTAGCTGGGATTTTTATTATACATCAAGTTGGGTAAAATAGTATTGAGTGTGACATTAATGAGTTGTATTAATGTCAATAATGACAGTATTGAGTCTCCCTACCCTTGAACATGGAAAATTCCTCCACTTACTTAGCTTTTCTTTGATTTTGTCCATTAGAGTTTGTAGTTTTCTTTATTTACAGTTGTGTATATTTTGTTAGACTTACATCTAGGTACTTAACATTTGGAGTACTGATGTAAATAATGTTTTTAAATTTAAATTCTGTCTATTCATTGATGCTATATGGGAAAGTAATTGACTTTTGTACACTAGCCTTGTATCCTGCAACCTTGCTTTAATCTTCTATTTGTTCCAGTATTTTGTTTGTTTGGTTTTTTTGTTTGTTTGTTTGTTTTGGTCATTTTTTCAGACTTTCTATGTGATTGATTGTGTCATCTGTGAAGATAGTTTTATTTCTTTTTTTTCCAAACTATATGTCTTTTATTTCCTTTTCTTGTCCTATTGCATTAACTAGAACTTCCAGTACAGTATTGAAAAGGAATGGTGAGAGTAGACCTCCTTGTCTTATACCTGATCTTAATAGGAAAGCTTCAAGTTTCTTGCTGTTAAGTATGATGTTCCTACAGATATGTTTTAGATTTGTTTGGTCAGGCTGAGAAAGTATTTCTGTATTCCCAACTTACTGAATTTTTTTTTATCATGAATAGATGTTACATTTTGTCAAATGCTATTATCCATATGTTGATATAATGATGTTATTTTTTTATTTTTTAGCCCCTATTGATGAGGTGGATTATATTAATCACTTTTTGAATGTTGAACCAGCCTTTCATACTTGCAAAAATTCCAATTGGTCATGGTGTCAAATAATTTTTATGCATTAAAATTCTCTTGCTGATATCTTTTGCATCTATATTCATGAGAGATATTGGTCTGTTTTCTTTTATTGTGATTTTTTTTCTAGTTTTGGTATGAGGGCAATATTGACCTCAGGATGAGTTAGGAATTCTCTCTGCTTTTGTTCTATGAAAGAGAAGGTAGAGTATCATTATAATTACTTCCTTAAATGTTCCTTAGAATTCATCAGTGAACCCATCTGGACTATGTTCTTTCTGTTTTAGAAGACTATTAATTATTGATTTATCTTTTTAATAGATATAGGCTTATTCAGATCATCTATTTCTTCTTGCATGAGTTTCTGTAAATAGTGTCTTTCAAGGAATTGATCCATTTCATTGAGTTTATCAAATTTGTGGACATAACATTGTTCATAGTGTTTTGTTGTTGCTGTTATCATTTTAATTTCCATAGGACCACACTTTGGTGGTGTCCCCTTTTTCTTTTTTTTTTAAATAGTTTATTGTCAAGTTGGTTTCCGTATAATACCCAGTGCTCATCCCCACAAATGCCCTCCTCCATGCCCATCACCCCCTTTCCCCTCCCCCCATGCCAATCAGTCCTCTGTTTGTTCTCAGCATTCAAGAGTGTCTCATGGTGGTGTCCCCTTTTTCATTTCTGATGCTAGTGATTAATGTCTTCTCTTTTTTTCTTAGTTATGCTGGTCAGAGGCTTATTGATTTTATTAATCTTTTCATAGAACTTTTTGATTTCACTGATTTTTCTCTATTGATTTCCCATTTTCAGTTTTATTGATTTCTGCTCTAATTCTTTTTTTTTTTAATTTTTTTTTTAACTTATTTCTAGGAGAGAGAGAGAGACAGTGTGAGCAGGGGAGGGTCAGAGAGAGAGGGAGTCACAGACTGAAACAGCCTCCAGGCTCTGAGCTGACAGTCAGCACAGAGCCCGATGCGGGGCTCGAACCCACGAACCGCGAGATCATGACCTAAGCGAAAGTCGGACGCTCAACCGACTAAGCCACCCAGGTGCCCCGATTTCTGCTCTAATTCTTATTATTTCTTTTTTTCTGCTTGCCTTGGATTTTATATGCTGTACTTTTTCTAGTTTCCTAAAATGGAAACTTGGATTATTAATTTTGTATCTTTCTTCTTTTTGAATGTATGTGTAAAGTCTGTTAAATTTGTCTCTGAGCACTACTTTCACTGTATCCCACAAGATTTTTTATAAGCTGTGTTTTCGTTTTCATTTAGTTATCAATATCTTTAATTTCTCTTGATATTTCTTCTTTAACCAATGTGTTATTTAGAAGTGTATTTTTTAGGCTCCACATATTGTGGGATTTTCCAGTTATCTTTTTGCTAACTTCTAGTTTTATTCAGTTGTGATCTGTGAGAAGACATTGAATGATTCCTCTTTGAATTTGCTAAGTGTCCAGAATGTTGTCTATCTTGGTGAGTATTTCATGTGAGCTTGAGAAAAATGTGTATTCTGATGATGTTGGATGAAATAGTCTATAGATGTCAATAGATCAAAAAAATTGATAGTATTGTTAAATTCAGCTCTGTGGTAGTTGTCTTTAATAGTTTCTCTTCAAATAATTACTTTGCTCAATTTCTCTCTCTCCTCCTTCTGGAACCCTAATTATCCATATGTTATCTAGTTGATATTGTCCAACCTATCAACTACTTTTTACTAATTTTTCAGTCTTCTATCCCTTAATATTTGGTCTAATTTCCATTTATCTCTTTAAGTTCACAAAATTGTTTCTCTGTCCAGTGTCTGGGAGACAATACCAATAATTTCTGATATATTTTTTATTTTAATATTTATAATATTAATATTTGTTTCTCTCTCTATGCACCTTTATACTAATTTTCTTCCTTTTCTGTTAGATCCTTTAACTTATCAATCATAGTTATTTTAAATGCTTTGCTTATTAATGTTAACTTTGGAGCTATATTTCTCCTGACTGATATTCATACTTTCCTGCATTTTTTACATATGTTGTAACTTTTGGTTGCCATTCAGAGTCATTCTAAAAGAATAATAGAGAGAAAATAAAATAATATTTACCACTAAATACTTATCCATTTTTTTGTTCAACTTCTAATGTATGGAGTTGAATGAATCTAATCTGAGGGGTTTATTTTGGTTTAGATATCACTGCAGCTTTATTTGCATTCACTTTGCCACTTTCTGCAAAATTTTATGGTTGTGATCATGTTTTCTCTGCAACAGGGTTTGGATCTGAATATCAGCCATAGTTTGCATATTTCTGTATAGCCGAGCTGCCAGATCTCCAAACTATGGAAGAATTCTACCTGCTTTATAGTTTGGCTGCTGATTTTGAGGGCAATCTGGCTGCTACTTTCTATTTCTACTTTCTATTTTTCTGCCTTCAGGTGATTTCTATTCTCCTGCTACTTAGACATCAGTCTTTGGAAAACATTTGTTGTGCTCTTAGAGATGGCCGGGAGATTCTTAGAGGGATTACTCTCAGTTGTTTTCAGCAATTTCCCAGCCTTTGGAAAGCCTCTAGTGTGGAAATAGTGAGTACCTGGAGATCAAAGAGCAATTTCTCAGCTCTCATAAGCAGCTCTTGTTTTGCTTTTGATGATGGCATAGAGTTCCATGGAATAATTTTTGTTAGTTCTCTTGTTTTGACCATGACCTTTAGCAGATTGCTGCCTTGCAGTTGGTGAAGGTCCTATCTACCTTAGGGTACACTTTTAGCTCTTTTGATTTATCTTCATCCTTCAGATTACCACTCTTATGCAAACCTTGAAGTTCCGTAGAAAAGCACTGGTAGATGAGTACAGACTCATTATGAGTTTGAGGTTCACTGGGGTTCAAATCCATCATAATAGCCACACCACATGTTTTCTAAAATCACATTGATCATATGGATGAAATTTTAAGATTCATTGGTAACCACTTGTGTGGCTACTTAACTGAGAAGTTTGCATATCACTAGGGGCTCAAAGCAAGAAAATAGAGTTTTGTGGGAAACAAACTCCCATAACAACAAAAGACAAAAGTTAAAAGAAAATAGCAGCTTGAATTAGTTGAGGAGCATTAGTTTGATTTCTGTATGTCCATAATCTCATGATATGTGAAGGATATTTATTTAGAGCTTATCTACAGTGAGTAGGTTTTGATTGTTGCTTGGCCATTTTTTAATTTACTAGTAAATATAGCATATTTGCCTGTCTATATTCATAAAAATATTTTCAAGCTAAAGGAGATTCCTCTTAAAAAATAATTAGCTAAAAATTAGTCATTCTTCAACATTAATATATTTTCTTAATATTCTTTTTTATTAATGTTTTATTTATTTCTAAGAGAGAGAGAGACAGCATGAGCAGGGGAGGGTCAGAGAGAGAGGGAGTCACAGACTGAAACAGCCTCCAGGCTCTGAGCTGGCAGTCAGCACAGAGCCTGACGCGGGGCACGAACCCACGAACCGCGAGATCATGACCTAAGCGAAAGTCGGACGCTTAACCAACTAAGCCACCCAGGCGCCCCTATTTTCTTAATATTCTTATAAAACTGGTAAAGCTTGGCAAGACTGAGAAATTAGGACCACTCATTTTTCACAGTAGTTACCAAGCTTAGCTGTTTACTGGAATGGTATGCTGAGATTTTCAGAAAACACGAATTTCCTCTTTACACTACCCTACCCTCCCTGCCAGCCAGTTTTTGTTGTTTTTTTTTTTTTTTAAGATAGGCCAGATGCCCAACATGGGCATGCTCTACTAACTGAGCCATCCAGGTATCCCAAGCCTTTTAAATTTACAATGCCATGAGATGGAGGGAAAGTATCATCTTTTTAATAAAATCTCAATTCATTCTGACTGAGCAGGTATGTGAGAAACACTACACTAAGGTTTTTATAATTATTATTCTTTAATATCAAGAAGAAGGATTCAGGAGAAGCAATTAGTTACATAGTTACTTATCAATCCTCAGCTGTTTGGCCCACTGAATTTCTTACATCTAATTTGACCCC